TATACTTTTTAAAAAATTTTAAAATTTAAATATTTATTTTTAGAAAACCCTTTTTTGGTGAAAATTAAAAACCATCGAGTTTTTGATTCCAGCCGCTTTTGGGGCCTATTTACCCAAGGCCCATTTTAAATTTTAAAAGCTTAATTTCTCTATTCTTTTTTTTTCTTGCATTTAACCTTTTATTTTTAAATATTAAAAAAAAAATGTTTTTAAAATTTTTTTTTAAATGGGGTTTCAAGGGTTACGCCCGGCCCCAAAATTTTTAAAATTTTTTGCATTGGTCTTTTTTTTTTATTGCACCCCCCTTTTAGGGGGCATGTTTTTTTTAGAAGGGGGGGGGCCCCCCTTTCCCTCCCCCCCCCTTAAAGGGAAAATGTAACCCCATTTCGAAAAAAACCGGGTTTCCATTCCTCCCGGGGGGCGGGAGTAAATTTCGCCCAATCTTTCCCCCTAACCGGGGCCCGGGAACAAAGGGCCTCCTTCCATAAATAACATTTGATTCATTCTGTTTGGTTCCATTTTTAAATACATTCAACATAAAAATTTCCTCCCCTCTGGAAAACATTTGGAACCCACCTTTTAATTAAAGGCCCAATTACGGGCTTTTTTCCAAATTGGGCCTGGAAAGAAATACTTTGCTTCCGTTTCTTTTGTTTTATTTCCCCACGTTCCCAACCCTAAAGACCTTTTTTTAATATTCTTCATTCCCCTCTTTGCCTCCAGGAAAAATTTTTCCAAATTCCTTTCCATCCTCTTTTTTTCCCTCAAAAAACTGTTCCTATCTTTCTTTAACCCTTTTTCTGGAAACGTCATCCCAAATCAAAAACTCATCCTCCATCCCTTTCCCCCCAATTGTTTCAATCTTTCCCCATCTTTTATCCTAACTATCTTTCCTTTATTCCCTTAATTTTTTTTTGAAATTTAAAATTCTCCCCTCTTGCAATTTCTTTCGTTCCCCCCAAGAACATGTCTAACAAAAGTGTGACATTATTTTTTTGGGGGGTGACTTTTTTCTTTTAATCCAGTTTGAAAAAGGGCATTATTCCAGTAACCCCCTCTAAAATTTTTTAAAAAATTTGTCAAGATTTAAGCCTCTTTATGAAAAATTTCCTCTTTTAAATTACTCAACATATTTTCCTATTCATAAAATTTTGGGCTTAGTAAATCCCCCAACAAATTGGGAAAGGCCCCCCCCCAAACTTTAACAGCTTTCCAATTTCTTTTTGGCTGGGGGTTTAATAAAATAAGGTTTTGGCCACCTTTCCAAAAACCCCTACTTTAGTTTTCATTTTGCAAAAACCCCTCAATTTAAAAAATTTAATAATTTCCCAAAAAATAAAACACACTGCAAGCAAATTTACGCCCCCCCTGGGGAATTCACCCCCACGCTCAAAAAACCCTAAATAGCCCCGTTTAAAAAATTTCACATTTTTCTTTCCTCCGGCCCAAATCTTTTCAAATTATTGCTCATCTTTTTTTATTTTTTGGTTCCATTTCCCCTTCTGCCCCTCTTGGCCCTCTTTAAATTTTTAATTTGGGGGCCCTTCAAAAACCTTTTTTTATGATTTAATTACATTATTTGTTAAATCTAAACCATCTTATTCCCTTTTTAAATTTTGTTTTGCTTTTACACCATTACCAAAATTTCTTGACTCTTAGATAACTCCGGCAGACTGATAGGAAAACACTGAATCCACTCGCCCATTTTAAAATGTACGCCATGCATTTGAGTTTTTTTTTTTTGATTCCACGGTTTTTTACTTATTCATATTAGGTGCAAAAGTCCTTAAGGTGTATAGTATGAAATAAATTTCTTTCCTTTAAATCTACATGAGCCACTTTCAAAAACTTTCACGCTTTCCCAGAAAAAATTTTTAACCAAAAAATTCCAAATTTCCATCAGGGAAAACCCCCCGATACCCCCCTTTCTCCAATAAAAATTTTTAGCCTTCAAATATGTAACCCATGTCTTAAAATTTTTGTCAGCCCCTCATTAAAAAGCCCTGTTGTATTTTTCTTCCTTCCTTTCATAACTTATTCTTCCAACCAAACTTCCCCAGGAATAAAGTTTTCCTCCCATAATTTAGGGTTTTACCTTTTTTATCAAAAATTCATTTTCTCCGGGAAATTACCAATAATAATTTAAAAAATTTAATTGAAAAACCCACTTTTCACATTTTTTCCCCCCTTTTCCATTCCCTTTACCCCTACCCGGCCCTTACCCCTTTTTCATTTACCTCCTGCTAGAAATGGGGGGTTTTAATAAATGTTTTTTACTCAGGGGGTTCTTTGCCCTTTGATTTTTTAACCGGGGGCCCACTTCCCTTATTCCTATTTTACTCCCTCCTTAAAACTTTTTTTCAAAAATCCCCTTTATATTTTTTTACTGGGCCCGGGGGGCTCACCTGTTTTACTTGTTTTACTAAAACCTTATTTTACTTTTTTTAAACTCTGACTACCTTTGACTTTTTACTGGGGGAACTTGTTCCACTTTTAACTTTCTTTATTTTCTCCTTATATTCCTTTTTTTTTTTCAATTCTATGTTAATTTTAGAACTTCTTCTTCAAATTTCTCACCTTTTAATCCCTTATTTTTTAATATCCCTTTTCCTGCACCATTTTTTTCAAACTACGAAAAATCTTTTAATACTAAAAACCACTCCTTAAAATTTATTTATATAAATTATTCTATATTTATATTTTAAAATTTTATATCTCTTTAAGTTAAGAAAACCCTTATTCTTTTCAAACACCATCAAAGTAGTTTTCCACCCTTTTCCCTAGTGTACCAAAATAAAAGGAATCAAATATATGTGGATCCAAACCTTAATTCCTAATTCTTCAAAGTTTTTTTAAATATATATAAAATATTATATATTAAATAAATATATATTATATATTTATTTTATTTTAAATATATTATTTATAAAAAAATTTTAAAAAATTTCCTTCAAAGCCTTGGATCATTTCCTGACACCCCTTTTTATACTAAACACCCTTTTTTCCATAATTTCATTTATATAATATAAAATTCTTATTAAAATTTAAATTTGTTTTAAAATTTGATTAGGAATATTTCTCAGGGTTGTGCAGTTCTGTTAGCCAATCTTTCCCCCATAGGCCCCATAATTACGGTAGTTTCTTATTAAATAAAATTTATTAAGAGTTACATTTTAAATACTTCATCAAGCTTGTTATTTTGTCCAGGTTTATATGTGATAATTTTTCGGCAAAACCTGAAAAGATCTGAAAAATAACTGACAAACTCCAACCAAAATTTTAATAAATGACTTGAAACAATAAGTAAACGAAAACCAGGAAATACTAGCGGTGGTGACAAGGTATATCGAGAATTACTTTAGTTATCGAGAAACCAAAACAGGTGCTCCTTTTATTTCCTGTTACAGAAAACGGTTTCTGAATGAACATCGCCTACCAATTTTATTACACAGCTAAGGAAGATTTACAGTGCAACAGACTTTGAAAACTGTTTTAAAAGGCATTTCACAAGTCTTCAGCTGTTAAGGAAAGTCCTTTAAATTACCAGGATGCTGTAGTTACCCCAACTCCTCAACGACAGAAAACAGGTCTTAAGTGACAGTTTTCTCTGACCAAAATCGACGGAGATCTGAGAACTTCTTGTGCATTAAGAAGTTTAGTGTCGAAATCTCCGAATAAAAAAAGGACTTTCTGAACGACGCCCACTCAAGGCTTGCCCGTAAGGCGTCACATGGTAAGTGGGCGAGCTGTGAGGACGCCTGTTAGACGAGACAGAGCAGAGTGGGCGGGCGATGCTTCTAATCCAAGTACCAATGGGCGGTAGGGGACGCCGTGTGGCCTTCCATAACCCACAGGTAAAACTATTCTTGGAAGGCTTTGCTTCTTTCCAGCGCAGACGACATTTTATCTTTCCTACCCATTTGACTTTTTCTCTTAGTTACATCTCCTCAAGGAAGGTGCCTTGATGCCGGCGAGGGGCTCTTGATCCAAGGAATTGAAAGTACCTTCGTTTTGATTAATACACGTTTCGCCAACCAGAGGTTTCTTCAATCCAGTACAGACAATACATACTGGAGACAGTGGAACAACTAGAGGGGTAATTTTGAAATGTTAGTCACTCAGCCTTGATGGATGTTCAGTCCTTTAGCCTTGATTAGATTACAATCATATTTACCAAGACTAAGAGAGTGAACACATTATATCAAGGCTGAGGGGCTGAACACCTACCAAGGCTGAATTTCAGACTCAACACCTATCAAGGCTGAGGGACTGAACACCTACCAAGGTTGAGGGAGTGAATACCTCAAAATTACCTCCCTACTTTCACCGTCTCCAGTATCTATTTTCTGTACTGGTTTGTAAAAGTCACTTGCTGGCGAAACGTCTCATCAATAAAAATATCCAGGTCATGCAGATGTATCTTAAGAATACACCAACTTGTCGGTATTGTATATCATTAATGTAATAACAGAATTCTCCTTTTCCTTGGATAAACCTTACTGTCTTCCATCCCCAAGGCGTTGTATTACCCCCATGGAGTAATAATTGATTATATTAATTACATTAAAATGTAGTGATACAATATAGTCTCTCATAAACTGTCCAGTGTTTTTAAAAGTCTGTGCTGGAAGGGAAGGAATTTCACTTTTATCTTTTACAGTCAATTGTTTTCTTCCTTCAATTTCCCGCCTCCGTTGACACTAATTTGTAATCATCACAACGCTCCATTTATTCAATATTTTCTATTTTTACTGCTCTGTAATCATGTAGCATTTAATAATTCAAGAATGAAAGTCACTTTGTAGAAATTAATACACGACATTAATTCTGAAAGAATTTTTGTGAATGCACAGAGCGTGAATTTAGTGTGAAGACAGTGAGATCACGGACAAGATAACAAAGATAAAGACCCGAGTCTTGGAGTAACTTTGATTGCTTGCGGGAGAGCTGTACGCCTCCGGCACGTACAAGTAATGCCACTGATGTCGTATGAGTGGAGCCTTGAGGGCATGTATGATGGCGTAGGCTTAATGCATCGCATCTCAAGACGATATTTTCCACCATAATTCTATGCTTCATATGTGTTAATTACCAACTGTCAGAGGCACATGTTGACAGACACTTGGCCTGATGTGTATTGTGTGTTTGTGTACTCGTATGTGGTTGCAGGGGTCGATTCACAGCTTCTGGATGTGTGTGCAAACTTTAAACACCTGCTTTACTGTTGTAACTTCAAACACTGAAGACGGGACACCACCAGCACAGCTCCGAGGTAGATAGATAGATAGATAGATAGAGAGAGAGAGAGAAAGAGAGAGAGAGCGAGCATGGGTATGTTTCCTTACGCCGATTGCTTCAGTTCGTGTAGCAGTAAGTAGGTAGTTAAGTGTTAGCTCACTGTTACAGATAACATTCAGGAGAAAAGAGCACCTAATGACCCTAGTAGAAATAAGCCAAAATGATTGACTTTCTTGGGTTATCCTTGCTCAGTAACCCCCTTCCCCGATTAATAAGCTAGTCTTCTTGAGAGTGACAACAAGAAAAAGTCTCAATACCTGGATTAAGCGGCCCTCAATAATTCGTAACAGTTCAGCTGTGATAGAAATGGGAACAGTGAATTAGTGAATCGAGCTCACCCCCACCTTGTTTCCGAAAGGTTAAATAGGTCAGTAGAGGAGAATAAAAATTAGTGCCTAAGCACTTAAGGTCGCCCCGGTGGCCTGATGTCACAAGCTCTCGCTTCACACACGGAGGGCCCGGGTTCGATTCCCGGTGGGGTGGAAACATTTCGACGGGTGTCCTTACACTTGTTGTCCTGTTCATCTAGCAGCAAATAGGTACCTGGGTGTTACTCGACTGGTGTGGGTCGTATCCTGAGGGATAAGATTGAGGACCACAATGGAAATAAGACAGTCCTCGATGACGTACTGACTTTCTTGGGTTACCCTGGGTGGCTAACCCTCCGGGGTTAAAAATTAGAAGAAAATCTTATCAAGACGAACCTCCCTTCCTTTCTGTTCCATATTTTCGAAAGGGAGTGTTAATCAGCCTTTAACTAGCCTCACGCTGTTTAATATATCACAGGTCTCAGTAACTTAAGTTTCCCTTTATAGTGAATTTGTGGGAATAGGCTTGTCTTCGTTCATATCATAATGGGTTATATATTTACTAAGTTATTTCTTTGACATTCAAATTTATTACAGAACTTGCATAATAATATTCGTAATGCGTGAAGCTGAGAGGCTTTCTTCGGTTAATTTATTAACCATGATAATTTCAAAGAGTTTTAACAAGGAAAACCTTTATTCTGTGACGTTTTACCTACAGTGGGGCTTTCTTAACTACAATCTTAACTTTGTCATGTGCGAAACAATTACGGTCATGTAGAAAACAATCATTGTGGAATGGAATACTTAAGATTTTTACACTAATTCTTTGTTGTAATCTCTTAGAATATGGATATCTGGGTTCTCCATAGCATGTTTTATGATGCAGTAATTCCAGTTACTATCGATGCCATTAGCCAATTTTAGGGCCAATAAAAACAGGTTTCAGTTTGATGTAGAAGCCCAGCCTGTGCTTAACTCGTTTCAGTTCTTATATTTGTATATATGAGGAAATAACAAGATTAGATGTAGTTTTGCTGGTGTATTTCTATGATATTTGTCAGTTATGCAATCTTAACCAGATCTGGTGTGTGCCATCAAGACGGGTATATCTTAACGACGAGTCATTTTTCCACTTTTCCTGCTGCCTTTGTCACTAACATTATCAGTGGATGACAGGTGATATGCTTTGGGTTCTTTGAGAAAGTAGTATCAAATTAATATAACATCCATTGAGAGAAAAAGTTTTTGTTATTTGTAATAGTTTAAGTCATGCTATTAACTGTTTCATGCGTGTTTTTTCTCACGTATGCTGTTTATTTTTGTCACAAACATATTATAGCGTGTTGCTTATGACGAGGGGATAGACTGACAGGCGTACCTTCAACATGCAGATAACGAAGTGTATGTGGAAGTCATGAGCAGTGCAGACTTATTCAAATTCAAAGTTTATTCTCTATAAGGATTACAATGTTGAGTTTACAGAAATTTGGTTATTGTGTGGTTTACATGTAGTAAAATTGTGATTACAGAGTGTACCACTTAGAACGCTTAGCATGGCTAGGCATTTCGGGCAGACTTAGTTTTATTCTTAATTGTAAAATATTACAAAATGAAGTAAGTTGGTATTATGGCTAAGTGACTAAATACTAGTTTGTGAGTTTAGCAATGTGAATGCTTTTGTTTTGGCACAGTACATAGTTTCAGTATTGGAGTATCACAGGATTTATTATTTTAAGATTGAGATTATATTTCTGTTTATGGTCAAATGAGTGAGTGAGTGTAAGTGTGAACCACCAGGTGGTATTCGTGTAGTTAGTTGATGGGGTGTATCAGGGAGATAAGATGTTTTCTAATGGTAGTTTTGAAGGTGACGAATGTGTCTGCAGTTCTAGAGTTCTCAGGTAGGGTATTCCAGATTTTAGGGCCTTTGACATACATGAATTTTTGTAAAGGTTTAGTCGGACACGGGGAATGTCGTAGAGATGTTTGTGTCTGGTGTTATGCCTGTGGGTTCTGTCACAACTATCAAGAAAGCGTTTTAGGTCAAGGTTGATATTAGAGTTTAAGGCCCTGTAGATGTAGATTGCACAGTAGTAAGTGTGGATGTACTGAACTGGGAGTAAGTTTAGGTATATGAAGAGTGGGGGGGGGGTGTTGCCAGGGATGGGATTTAGTGATTATTCTTACTGCAGCTTTTTGTTGGGTTATTATTGGCTTTAGGTGAGTTGCTGCAGTTGATCCCCAAGCACAAATAGCATAGGTGAGGTATGGATAAATAAGTGAGTGGTATAGTGTGAGAAGGGCATTTTGCGGCACGTAGTATCGTATCTTGGAGAGGATCCCAACCGTTTTGGATACTTTTTGGTTATATGCTGGATATGGGTGCTGAAATTCAGGTTGTTGTCAAGGTAAAGCCTAGGAATTTG